TTTCCTCCCCCAGCCACTGTCAGCATTCCTCTGGTGGCTCCCAAAAAGGACATCAGGTGACAGCTAGAGGGAGATACAGGAAGACAAAGACATAGATCAATAGTTACTGTTTATATTTAATGGAATTTTAGATATACTCCATTTTCTATACAATTGTCTTGCAAAAAAGACAAAACCTTTGAGTTTTGTTTTACAGTTTTTGGTGAGAAGAAGACTTTCATAGTTTGTTTATTATATTATTATTATATTATAAGTATGATTAAAAATAGCAGCACTTTGGGTTTGTTCCACACCCGTGTGAAAAACAGGATCCAGACAAATTTGATCACTTATCAACAATGAAGCCCAGGTTAATGCTCACACCAAAACTACTCATCTAACCCCCACCCCCACCTTCTCCCCTTTACATCTCGCCCGCTAAAATGCTCTTTGATCACTCAGCACATGGTTACTCATACAAACGCAGCTACACATACCACACTCGTGCCCATATTCAGCTGAAGGCAATTAGAGGCAGATGCTGCTGTTGCTCAGCAAGACCAAAAGATTCATTGCATAGTATCTGTTTGACTCATGCTTAACGATTTTTGAACTAGGCCACACATCTCCCCTGTCCACAAAAATAAAGACATAACAGACATTTTTTGAGAATAACAAAGTCAGGACCAACACCTCTGACCATCAAAAGCCAATATGAGTGAGCCATATTAGCATGCTGGTGAAATTCAGTTTCCTTTAACAGGCAGGACAATTCACATTTAGTGCCAGGAACCAAGCACCCATAATGACATAAAAGTAACAATTAAATAAATAATATTGTGAAGAAAAACTCAAATGAACTTACAGCATAGGTACTCATTATCATTGATCACACAGAAATACAGTCCAGGTCAGCTCTTTTTCCTGAGTGCTTGTTTTCGGTAGTTTGTCTTCAGCAGTCTGTAGTTTCATGTCATGGTACTTATGATACTTTCTCATCTCGTCATCAAAATAGAAAAAACCGTTCTTTTCTCCCTCTTGTTTCTATTTCGTCAACTTCTCCATTTTAAAGGGAAGCTGGCTTTATCAGCCAGTACAATCAGCCTCAGTAGCTCAAATAGGAAGGTGTGCTCAACTGAATAACCACATGACAACTTTGTTAAGGCTGCTACATAAACTGTTCAGCTGCATTTGTTTGCACATTGAATAGACATGGAGAATAGTAGAAGACATATGCAGATGCTTTATACCAATAAAAGTAGCACTACTGCAATTTAAAACAGTCCATACATTTTTTTTTAAGCACCAACATGAGCCACTGTTAACACGTGAACAACAGTTGCTGCTGTTGAGAATGTGTAAAAACAAGGAGGAAGCAGCAGAGTAGCTGAAATCGCTACATCTGGCTTGTGCCATCCCAAGCAGTAGTAGAACACATGCAAACTTGACAAAGGCATATATAAACATGAGCAGTCAGAGCACATGTTCCTCCGCCAAGGCACAACATTTCATGCAAATGGGTCCCTTGTGAAAAATGAGATCCAGAACAACACAAAATGTGCCCAAAAATCTAGATCTGGATCATCTTTTAGGGTATGATAGGCAGTTATACTGTGCATCTTACCCGAACATTTCAGAGTATCTTCATAATTTGTCAAATTATGGCGCAAAATATGCATTAAATGAGCTTTTCAATGTGAACTTTAAATGGCCATCTAATCCAGAATCCAGATCAGGTCCAAATTAAATTTGGTCTAGTGAAAGCTATTGCCACCCTACATACTGTATGTGTGTCAATGTGTGAAATGGGGATGCAACCAACAACTGTTTTCTTTATTGAATAATATTTATTTAGTAGCTCACACTTACTTTTGTCAAATGTGGATATATCAGCTCACACAGGACAGGAAGGAGTCACCATGGTAAAGGCTAGAACAATTTTTAAAGTTAAAACTCTATGGTGGCAAATTCTGTGTGGGCAGAAGCAGTCTAATATGGGTAGTCTAATATTGTACATCATTGGTTAAGTTCCTGTTTGGTAATGTGTGTAACACATAATAAGAACTGACACATATAGGTCACAAGAATGTATCTCAATCTGATTTGATCATGTGGGTATTTTCCAATGAGGTAACATAAAATTAGAAACTGATGCAACACTGAGGAAATGCAACACAGAGATGCAAAACACTTATCCCAAACAATCTGAATCACACAGCTTTACCATGTAGATGTCATCACTGGATTAGTAGACAGGTCAATTTCAGTCACTGACAGCTCGTTGCATAAATTCTCAGGGCTTTTACATCTGAAACCACAGACGTATTTCCTCACTCAGAACATATAAAAAAGGTGAAATGAATGATAAAGTAAAGTTTTTGTTATGACAGGGGATTCAGAGTGATGAGAAGTAAGTGGTTTAAATATAGCAAAGTTTTGTAATGTTTTAGGTTTAAAAGAGCCCCCTGTCTCCCTCTGTGTAGTCCTGCTTCTGCTCATCTGCATTAGATCAAGAGGTAAGGGCTTGTTATTTCCTGTGGGGATTAGCCCAACAAAAACACCATTTGAGAGAAAGTGTGTGCCAGAATGCAGTTAATAAATAAATAAAAAGCAGCTGAGAGTCTGATGGAGCAGCTAGAAAGATGTAATCCTCTATTTAAATTTGGCTCAGCATTTCTCTCCGTTTTAATCTTGTGCTAGTCTGGACACTTGGGGCGACTGATATAGGCTGAAATTAGAGTTGCATACAGAGGTGTGTCTTAATAATTATATAAATCACAGGACAGTGCAATAATTTAAGAACATATAAGCTCCTTGACAGCTATGAAGAACCAAATGAATTATTGTCACATACTAAACCTACCACTTTTAAACACCGACATGGCAGCCAGTACTATAAACATATTTGGGTGTATTAATATGATTCCATGACCATGAAAACCTACCCCTAGCATTTGGAATCACACTGATATCATTATTAGTTTGAAAGTTATTCACGACAAACAATATTTCAGTGATGGTGGATTTCTTCAGAATGTAGCTCAAAAAGTTTCAAAGATATCTCAAAGCTGTTGACACCCTACTAAATCAGCAGAGTTTCTGCTAGAATTTGATCTTAGCTGTGAATCTGTAGCATTACTTGTGTTATGGTAATGACATTTCCATGAGATCTATAAATTTGAACATTCTAGATCACGACTCCTAGAATATTACTTGGATCCAGACTTTGGTGTGTGGTAATCTGATCTAGATCACCATCAAAATCCAATGGATTGTTCCCATACCTTTCCAAAATATTTCATTCAAATCCTTTCATAGCTTTCTGAGTTATGCTGTAAACAAACATAAAGACATAGCCTCTTTGGCGTAGATAAATATTTATATACACATAACTGCCCTGAGATGGAATCTGTGTCAACAGGAGGAGTACATGCTGAGGTGTAACACACCTGAGTTCTAAAGTATCTACCCTCAGAAACTCATGCAATTAGAGATACAGTAGCAGTCTACTGTATTTTATGATCAATGTACATGATATTCTGTAGGAATACTATGGTTAATTATATTAATTGACTTTCTAACCTCCCTTGTTGCTTTACACATGACACAGGTTACCTGACAGAGACACAGCACAAAGTAGCAGTAGTAGAAATAAAGAAAAATGTAAAGATTCAGAAAAATGCTTTTCTTGTATACTTGTTGCCCGCAATACTTAGTTACATGGTGACTACAACAGTAGTAGTGGCAGAGCAAGAGTTTTTCCAACTGTCACTTATCATTATGCAGCTGACATTCATTGCGTCACCATAATCGAGGCAAACCTCATCCTGATTCAGTCCTCCCAGAAACTCAGTGACTGCCAGTGTAAAAGGAGGTCCAACTACAGGTGAAGCTGTGTCAGAATTCAGGAGGTAGACTGCATAAAATGACATCAGGGAGGCTGAAATGCACAACCTCTTAAGAGGTACAGTATACTTACCTTGTGCATAGCTCGTAATGACAGATGGCTGGTTTCCCTGAGTGACTTCTGAGGTTGTACTGGGCTAGCCTGCAGTGACAGAAAAAATGCACAAAAGTGAAACAAAAAAGGTTTTAGATATGTTATTATTATTATTATTATTATAAATATAACACATTCATGTGTGGGCTTTGGCCTGGCGCTATGCTAACACTAGCACTGCCTTCAAAACAGAGGGAAAAACAAAAGTGGAATAAGTCTTCTTATGTAACTCTCAGCAATAAAGCAAATAACCCCATTTCCCAAAATGTATGAAAGTATGCTTTTAAAGTTGTTTGCACACATCACTGATCTTGGGCAGCTAACATTCAGCAACTTAAATTCAATTTGACACTATGCCAAGGTGAAACAATATAGAGTACTGCCACTCAAACGCCTCAAGTGCTTACAGCTATGGAACCCTGCCCTGTGATTATGTGTGCAACACTCTCTGTATCACCTCATGTCTAAGAAAAGAGAAAATAGGTATTAAGTGGCAGATAGCTCCTCTTTATAAACCTCTTTGGCTGAAAAGGTTGCTTTTAGCATCAAACTATGGCAGTGTATAAATGAGCATCCTCTTTCTTCTATACCCTGACCCATTTCTCTCCTCTCCTTTGAGAAGAGAAGCTTTCATCCACCTCTAAAAATGCATAACTCTTCACATTTTAAGGCAATTTCAATGAGAAAAAAACCCCCACACAGGCTGAGGAGGAGTAACAAACAGTGAATGCTGCGTTGGATGTGGTACCTTGCTGGTGTTGTGTCCACGAGCCCGGCGAGGAGGCTTCCAGGACCTCTCCTTGGTGACGGTGTTGATGTAGTAGTATCTACCTGTAGCTGGGTCTGAGTACTGCTCCCACAGGTTCACGATCTGAAGAGGCTGTTGACCTGGGGCAGGGCTGGGTGGCTCTGGCTGTGATGGATGTTTCTCTGGCTGCATTTCAGTGTAAAGAGGGGAGTTTTGCCATGACAGCTCTGACAGACAGGACTCTGTTGGGACCTTGTAGGCAGAGGAAATTTAAATGGAGAAGGGGACAGGGAGCAAAGTGGAGAGAGAGAGAGAGAGCCATACAGTAAGTAGAGGTGGACATGGAGGAAAAGAAGTGACACATCTGCAATAACTGATTATTTTGGCCACATCCTCAGGTTTTAAGATGCTATAATAACCTTATTAGCAAAAGAGTTGGTTATTTACATATCAACAATATCATTCATTTGGAGCCATGTTTCTGGTCATACTGCTCACCCATGACTGTCATGGATGAGCAGTACCTGTATGTGTTAAAGGGATATGATTGCAGTTTACTCCAGGAGGCAGCATTGAGTCGTCAGCTCACCTGATGCTTCCTGTCCCGCTGCTTCCTTCTGTTCATCTTGGTGGTTAATTCAAAACCAAGTGCTTCTCAACAGGATCAAATAGGTCCATGGATCATTAAAAATAATCTATGCAAGCCCTTTTCAACAAAGGTCTAGCAATAAAGCTGTCCAGTGAATTGACTATAGAGTTAATTTGATTCCAGATCTCCTATCTCAAATTTTGTTATGAAAATATCATCACTGATGGTATTATTCATATTAGTTTGTTGTTTCCAGAACAATTAACACAACCATTTTGTCCTCTATGCGTCTGCGTTTCCACAAACATGAGTTTACAGTGTTGATGAGCATTTCACAACAGTGTCAGCAGTCTTCTCCTCTTTATCAGGGGTTTGATCAAGCGCTTTCAGAATTGTTTGCTTGCTCACTGTGATATTACCACACAATGAAGAGCAGCTTTATCTATACAGCAGTTATGAGAACTGGCCAGTGTTGTATCAGTCAAGGTGAGATGTTCTGCAATACTGTGTTTAGCCCACACGTGTAAAATGGTGGTTTTAGTGTTTGGTGCTTACGACTGGATAAAGGTGGATATGTGAGAGAGAGGACTGGTCCAAGTGAGAATGTGTGACTGTAGTTAAAAGAGAGAACTTTATATGTTTTAAAGGTTTTGTATCCTCTGTTGTAGGTGTGTGTGTGTGTGTGTGTATGTGTTTGAATTGTTTGCTCAGTTCTTTTATTACTTGTTCAGTGTGACAATCATTTTTTTAAAGTTTGAGTTTGAAGATGTCATGAGTCGCCATTTGATGTCACCTTGTACAAATCAGATGGTAAGCAGTAAAGACGGAAATCGAGGGCGTCTAGGTGGTTTAGCTTTCTTATACACATATCCACAGTATTACCAGTTTGATTCAGTCTAAGCATTTTTGTTGCATTTTATCACTCTCATGCCTCTCTGTCATACACTATATTGCCAAAGGTATGTGGACATTTTTATCCATTGCCGGGCCCCTAAGTTCTAATTAGGAGAAATCTTTATGTAAGATCCAGGCTGACCTCTATGATCATGTGGCTGAACAGGAGAAAATCCTGCAGCCATGTTCCAACATCTTGTGGAAAGCCTTGTCAAAAGAATGGAAGCTACTGTAGCAGCATATTAATGTTAATGGTTCTGATATGAGATTCTCACAATCACTCATCAGCATATGACTAGGTGTCCACATAGTTTTGACCATGCAGTGCAACAGTAAAAACAAAAAATATAAAAACAACAGTTTAAGCAACACTAAACAGGAACATTTATAAAGATATAAAATTATTTTTAACATTGAAAATGAATCTCTTGTTTACTAATGTCTGTATAAGATTACATTTAAATAAAATTCACAATTTGCATGGCAGCGCTTGAGAAAAATGTACAAAATGTATGGTGAAAGAGAGAGTTTGTTTTCTGGATGAAAAAAGTGGAGTTGTGACCTGAATGTGGCTGCAATAATCCTGCATACTGGCATTAAAGGCTTTAATGAAGAAGGTCCTTGGAGAGGGAGAGAGAGGAGCAGATGCAGAAACTAAAACAGAAAGAGAGGGAGGAAGAGAGTCTGAGATAGAAAAAGAAAACTGTCTTTTCCGCAGAGACCACAGTAACTATACAAAGTTGGGAGTCACTTGTTCATGCATGGCTCAGTGGAAACAAACCTCCTTTTAGAGAGACAGTCTAGATGCAGGGCTGTGGGAGTTTCCCCTCTGCTGATAGAGGGATAACATTTCCTCTCATCAACGACGCTTTGTATAATCCCTCTGATGTAATTCAGTGAACTCGCGTCATGATGTGAACTTGATTGCTGCTCTAGGAGGATTATTAGTTTCAATTACAGATGTACAACTGAGCACAACCTCTGCTTCTATGGATGAACTACATCATCTGGTGAGATCCAAAGAGAAAAACCCCAGGGCTTTTTTTAAAATACGTTTTGCATATTATTTATTTACCCCCCAAAAATATTTGTTTCTACCTAAACACTTTGTCCTATTTTATAGAATCTTAAAAATATTAGAAAATCAGACGCACAACAATGCAGAACCTACTATTTCCCATTTTTCCATTTCTCAAAGTCCCCCTAACATCATCTAAAGTCTGAGCTAAATGTGAGAAATCATGATTTGGAGGTCACAACTTCTTTGAAGCCAGTTCTGGTCTAGTAGATGTGTGTGAAACGTGAAGCGCGTATTCCACAGTGGTGTAGGATGCATCTTGTATATCCAATAGTGAAACCTTTGAAATTTGAAAAAGCAACTGAAAGTACCCTTTTGCCCATCTGGCAGTACTTTGGGTTAAAACAAAACAAAATGTTAAAGAAAGGATTTGTATACATAACATAAAAGATGTCAGACAAAGAATCTTCATGGCCATTTGCATGTACACCATCCCGCACAATGTGCTACCTTTCTATCAGTGATGTGAGATCAACTGATAGTTCTACCTGTGAACATATCTCACTCTGTTAGAGTTGTTGGAGCTATAGAGAAACAATCAGTTCACTAATTATTCAGTGGTGTTACAAAGTGATGGCTCTTTACCACATAAACGATTATTAGCTAACAGCAAACATCATGTTGTCTATTTCTCCACTGGGTGCAGCAAGGTCACAAACCCAACAACGGAAAGCTTCAGCAAGGTGGGCGATGGCATTGTCCCATTGCCCATCCCTAGGCCATTGTGAAAACAGATGTTGAAAACAGACCACCAGCATAAACCGAATGGGCCTACTAGGCACAGACACAGGCCCAGGGGCTTGAAGTCATGGGGCTACTAAATTATTATCAAATTATAATTTGACCAAGAAGTGCAAGCCTCTTAAAGCTTTGTAAAAAACAGTAAATACAAAACATAGGCCTCAGGAAATCACTGTGGACAAACACAGGAGAATAACACCCAAGTTAACAAACAGAATTTCCCAGAACTTCAGCTGCACTGTGGTTCTGATATTTGATTAACATCTGTGTGAGGTTTGTAGGTCTTCTCTTTCCCTACCCGCAAA